CTGTGAGCTGTAATGCCACGGCACTCTGCCCAGGGGGACAGCTTGAGGCTCTGTCTCAAAAAAAAAAAAAAAAAAAGAAAAGTATGGATGTGCTGTTTCAGTTTCTCCGATCAAAATGGGAAAGATCCCCACCGTCTCCCATATAGGGCAGACCGTATATCTACTGTCAGCTCCCATTGTATGCATCAGTAACAAGGTTAGACAATTAAGTTTGTGAACTCACCCTAGAAAATGTGCCACATGCCTCATTGCTGAATTTCACTACGGTCCCCTTCAAAATACTCCATTCTATGAAGTCACCACTAGTACTGAATTGGTGATGATAGTATCTTCATTCCTGGGGGAGACAGATGGCTAGGAGGATGGTCAGGATCCTGCAAGCCTCTGGTCACAGCTGTGACCAACTGACTGATACATGAGCCTGCTTTATGTGTGTTTCTGTTCAAAGACACCTTTTTAACATATATTGTTGATTTATTAACATTGAGCTCATGGCCATCAGCACCATGACCCACACTTAAATGAGACCGATTTGCTTTTGGACAAATCCCTTAAGAGCTACAAACAGAACCTCCAAATTATTAAAACATTGTGGCTCAGCGCCCGTAGCTTAGTGGTTAGGGCACCAGCCACATACACCAAGGCTGGTGGGTTCAAATGCAGCCCAGCCCTACTAAACAACAATGATGACAACTGCAACAAAAAAAAGCCGGGGGTGGCACCTGTGGTTCAGTGAGTAGGGCACCATATACTGAGGGTGGCGGGTTCAAAGCCAGCCCCGGCCAAACTGCAACAAAAAATAGCCAGGCATTGTAGTGGGCGCCTGTAGTCCCAGCTGCTCAGGAGGCTAAGCCCAAGAGCTGGAGGTTGCTGTGAGCTATGATGCCACACCACTCTACAGATGGCAACAAAAAAAGACTCTGTCTCAAAAAAAAAAAAAAATAGCCGGGCATTGTGGCAGGCGCCTGTAGTTCCAGCTACTTGGAAGGCTGAGGCAAGAGAATCACTTGAGCTCAAGAGTTTGAGGTTGCTGTTAGCTGTGACAGAACGGCACTCTACGAAGGGTGACATAGTGAGACTGTTTCAAAAAAAAAATGTTGCCAAAAAATTAGAACATAATTGATTGAAAATGGATTAGAAATAAAATAACCCAACCCAACGAAACTGATAAAAAGCACATGACAAGTTTAGCAAAAAATACCTTTTCAGATGCTCACAAAAATTACCACCTCCTTCCAAAAGTTGTAAATAAACAAAGGCACATAAAATTACAAAATCTCCCCCTAGCACACAGAAAAATGGTTTCGTTTGGGGTTCTTTTTGTCCCTTTAACCTGCAACAGGAAAATATGCAGAATTGATGAGTAAAAATTAATGGCAAATTTATCCTTTGACAAATCTATTTTCATCCACTTACCCGGAACCCCTTAAGAACTAGGGGACAGGGATGACAGAGCAGAGAAGAGCAAGTAAGACATTCCAGAACTCACACTGTTGACAAGGGCAGTCTCCAAAATGCAAACTGTTCTGTTTTCAATTTCCCAGTAAGTGTGGATGCCCAGATTCCTGGTCATGTTTCTCTGGCACGCTTCTCTCTGCCAAGGAAATGCCTGCCACTGGCTGTCAGGAAAGGAATCCTGGAAACCCCAGAGGATAATGGAGCCCTTGTTGAGTGCGAGAGGAGACAGACTTCTTCAGCCCCTTTCTTTTTTTTTTTTTTTTTTT